GTTTATCTGAGTAAAGATGTATCCGTCTTTGCCCTATCTATCTGTCTATCTACCTATCTATCAGTCTCTATTTATTTCTCTATCTCTATCTCTATTTACCCATATATCTATTTACGCATCTCTTTTTATCTATCCATTTCTACTTATATAAATACATACCATACTCAGCAGATCGATAATGAACTTTAAACAAATGTGTGCGTGTTTAATAACGCTCATCAGGTATGAGCAGTGTGTGCCTATTTTGCAGACCTTGGTTCAACGTAACTCATGACTCGCGACTTCGGAATAGGGCTTATCATTTGCAAGGATTTGCGATCACTTTTTGTATTGTATTCAGTAACTAAATTTTCTTTGTTTTTAACTCGTATTCCATTAGGGAGATGTCGAACCCTATGCATTTTCCCCAGTTTCTAAATTCTTAGAGAAAGAGGAAAACAAAGAAAAAGAAAAAATAAATGTCGACCTCGTTGCATTATCATCTCTGGCGCAATTTCCCATATTTCCTGCGAGCTGTTAAATATTCTCAGGAAAAAGGACTGCCGTTGTCTCTGTACTTCAAGTGAACAATCCCTCCGCAAAGAAGGAAAGCCGAGCATGGATGATCTAAACTTAATTCCACAGATAATCCTGTCAAAGGAATTTTGATCCTATATCTTTGTTGATATTTATCTTACACATATATAATTCGGCCTGCTGGATCCGTTAATCATAAAGGCCTAGAAAACACCCTTATCATTAGAATTTCTTTGCCAAGTACTCTTTTTTCACATTAAGTGACAGTGCGAGGAAGCAACTAGCATGAGGGCTAGTTATTTTTATGTATTCGGTTAACTGAATATTGACCAGAAAATTTCCTTTGTTACATTGCGATGATCTGTTAGTCTCTGGATCATACATACGTTTCGCTGTAAACATTAAATAAAAAATAGATATAATCCTGCGGATAGTGATACATAGATCACGAAATGTCAGATTTGGTGACATTAGAGGACTCAAAATCGTTATTTTTTCCGGTTTAGAGGCTATTAACCATTATTTTTTAAGTTGTGAACCTCCGTTTGCAGGGATCTTATGTACGATGGCAATGGGCTCTGGCCCAGGTGGAGGCTACTATTGGTCGACGTCATTTCCCTCCGATAGTTTCAGCTTATTTCAACTTTTCTCAACATCATGCAGCATTGTTTAACCGAACTTTTCCATTCTATCCTTACTTTTTTCTGTATAGTAAAAACGCACACGTACAAAACGCAAACACAAATAAACACAGACACAAAAACACACATACACACGTGCGCACACACACGCGATAACTTCTCTCCGGATGAAGATCTGAACATCACGCACAGATGTCTCTACACACCTTTTTCTAGCATTAGTAAAAGGAAAAACATCTACATTACAAAACAAAAGGGGAAGAGCTGTCTATAGAAGCTTTGCTAAACAGAAGATAAGGACGTAAGTAGACGTAAGTAGATACATACAAGCATAAAGCCTGAGTGTGTGTACTTATTCAGTTCTTAATATGCTACATCTCAACACATGAAGGCGTAAACAAGGAATCAACAAAGTTTTTTAGGTACGTACGTTATTAGCATTAAAACTTTACATAACTGCAGTCATATGCATAAGGGCAATGATAGTAAAGATATAGTTACTTCCATTTTTTTCATAGAAACAAATGATCAAGTGCTTATTTTGCTTGCGCTCGTAAGAAAAATGTAAAAAGAAATTTGAATGAGTTCCATCATATCTTATATAGCTAGGAAGCAAACGAAAATGATTAGCAACAATCCATTCCCGTTGATACTGGAAAAAATCGACCTTAAACTTAATAGAAAAAAACGGACAAAATAGATGAAAGAAAAAAAAAATCTCACTAACGGAACATGTATAACATCTCTGATTCTCTATAAAAATCTGAAAAGCGGAAATCTAGGATATGCCATATCAAACAACTCGTTATTGATATGTACAGAGTATAAAGCGAGACTTTCAGGAAATAAAAAGCGGGAAAATGAAGGCAGGAAATCAATGATTAGCAACCAGTACATGACTTCGCCCGATTTCGCTCTTCAGCAGGAAACTGTGTCCCTTCTCCCACGCCCGCACGCCCATGCTCGTCCCCATGAAGACACTTGTGCTCCTTCTGTGCCTCGGCTTTGCTAGTGAGTATTTTCGTTTGCAATTTGTTTGTTATGCAACTGTCTATTTTGCGAGAAATGCTTGGCTCATTACTTAAACTCTTGGGGACTGGCAATTTATTAACATCCATTGCAAATGCAAATATATATATTTATATATATGTGTGTGGGTATGTGTGTGTGTATGGGTATGTGTGTGTGTCTGTGTGTGTGTGTATATCTATCTATCTATATATATACACACATATATATATATATACATATGTATATGTATATATACACACACATTTATATGTATATATATGTATATGAATAAATATATATATATACAATTACATATATATACACACAGATAAATATATATATATATACATATAAATACATATATATACAATTATTATGTATTTGTGTGTGTGTGTGCATGTATATATGTATATATTTTTTATATTTATATATATGTATTTGCATATATGTATACATATATACATTTAATATTTTCATAATTTATTTTTTGTTTATCTATTCATATATATATACATATATACACAATATGTGTATGTGTGTGTTTGTATGTCTGTGTGTAAAATACATATGTGTGTGTATGCATATTTATATATTCGTATATATGTATGTATGTATGTATATATATGTACATCATATTCATATATATGTATGTATAATTATGAGTATATATGTATATATATATGTGTGTGTACATCATCATACGGAATGATCATTGGGCTGATCAGCCGTGGCATCCCAAACAAATAATAATTTGGGATGTTGTTACACACACACAGGCACATAAACACACACACACGAATACACAAACACACACTAACACACATACACACACATAGAACCCTGTTAACAAATGGCTCATTTCTGGCAACCCTTTCGCAGCGGCCCTGGACTGCACGGGCGACGAAATCTCATGCACGAACGGCGAGCTCTGCATCCCTTATCAATTCCTGTGTGATAACGATAGCGACTGTGCTGATGCCTCGGATGAGGACCCTGAATTCTGCTCGGTATGGACACACATACACACATGCATGTACACATCCACATGGCCTCACACACACACACGCACGGGTGCACATATTAAGCTTATTTTTTCTAGACTATTTTGGAGAATCTTGCCATAGACACAAATGTGAAAATTTTAAATAATTCTTTAAAATTCATCTTCAAGAACTAATCTTCTCGCATATGTTATTTAGATTTTAAATTCTTTACTACGCTACCAGTATGTATCCCATAAAACGGCAGTTCTTGGATGCTGATTAGCAGATTTTAACTGTTGCGCCCTTTAGTTTTTGTTCTTATTTTGCTGATTCTAGAGGAACCACAGAGAAACTACTGTGTGAACAGAAAATATATACTCTCAGTTAATGATAAGACACAACGATAACATGTATTTTTTCTCTCTTTTTCTTTAGTAATATTTGCATACTCTGGATGACCATGTACGCTCAATATAGCTACCATTGTGACGAGCTGCCAATTTGTTGTTTCTTGTTACTCCTTCAAACTATAATTCATTTCAAAATATCCATTTAGCATTGCAGATTACTAGTCACAATATTCATATTGTAAATGCAATCAACGAGTTTGAGAAATTAGTTAAAGTTAAAATGCGCCTGCTTTTTTTTTTTTTTTTTACAATAGAGTAAGGAAAAGGGTTTTCAATAAAACAAAACAAAATTTTGGGATAACCACATCTCCGTTATAAATATTTCAAAAACTTTTTTTTAAAGAATGTAGGTATCAGTTAAGCAGTCGTCTGTAAATGCTTTGACATTTCGGTGATGGCTGATCCCATAAATTACCCATTTGCACATTCTAGATTTTAACGATTATCTTGCCCGCAAGGCGACCCTTCCCCACGGCATCATATAATGCCCGTCCCCGGTGAGGCATTGGGCGCTGGCGCTCGCCCTCATCGGATGACGTCACCGGTGAATGTTCATTAGAGAGGTTAATGAGTCTCTTAACGAGCGGGGAGCAGCGCGTCTTGGCTCGTGGCTTGGATTTCCCTCGCTTGCCCTCGGATACACGCGAAAAAAGATATATCCACACACGCACACACGTGTGTATGCGTGTGCGTGCGTAAACATGTTTATATATACATATGTATGTATGTATATCCACACACTCGTGTATGTATATGTATATGTGCTTATATACTTTTTTTTTTTTTTTTTTTACAAACATGCATCTGTACTTATTTATATACATACATATATATGTATATATATATTTATATATTTATATATGCACATACATACGTTTGTTTATCTGCACACACACACACGATAGCCCTCTCTTGGCAGGCCTGGAGGAACAGGGATTGCAGAAAGGGCCAGGCCCTTTGCAGGGCCAACGGAGCCTCAGAGTGCATCCCCATCGAGAACTACTGCCACCGAACTCAGCCTGCTTGCCAAGGAACTCTCGACCGTCGAATCTGCTCTGTGAGTCGATAGATAATGATGGTTGTCTAATTTACTGTTTTATCTTTGCTATTTTATTTCATTATCATTGTATTTTCTATTCGCTATAATTTTCTTTCATAGTTTTTAATTATTATATTATTATCGTAGGTATCATCACATGAAGTTCCATGACTGATTTTTTTCTAACGAAATGTCGCATTTCTTAACAATTTATTTATGGTAAATCTAAAATATCGCTTTATATTTTTTGTATTAACAATGTCAGTCAAATTATAAAGATTCATCCTAATTCATAGTTATCGAGGTCTAATACAACTTAATATGTTGTTACTTTACTTTTCTGTCAGTATCATCACTATCATTGATCATTATATATTTATTGTACAAATATTTTCATCATTATATATCATCATTATTACTGTTATCATTATCCTTATTACCATCATATACCATAACTAAATCTTATTACTGTACTTTATATAGCCATCATTATCATATTAAAAAGGTATATAGCATTGCATTAAAGTTACCCTTATCCCTCTCTTAAACAACCATCATCATCATATCAAAATTAAATCAAATCAATATCAGGGCATTTAGAGATTAGCCTTATCTTTGTCTTACACTGACTACACTACGTTTCAGATATTAGGAGACAGGAAATTGGTTCCCATAGACACAATCAGACTTCCCCCAGTCAATACGCCCGGTAAGCATCTTTCCACTTTGGATTCTGTTGGTCGGATGTTGTTTATCATCATTATTATTATTATTATTATTATCATTATCATTATTATTACTATTATCATTATCATTATTATTATCATTATTATTATTATTGTTATTATCATTATTATTACTCTTATTATTATTATCATAATTATTATTACCATCATCATCATTATTATTATTATCATTCATTATTATTATTATTATCATTCATTATTATTATTACTATCATTGTTATTACCCCTAATGTCATTATCATTATTGTTCTTCTTGTTATCATTGCTATTATTATTATTATTACTATTATTATCATTATTATTTCTATTATTATCATAATTTTTATTATCATTATGTTATAAATATAATTATCCTTCTTATCATTATTATTGATGATGTCATTATCAATATGATTTCTATCATTAGTATCATCATTATTATTACTATTATCATTACTATTATCACAATCATTATCATCATCACCATTATTATTATGATTACTATAATCATATTCATGAAAATCTTAATAACAACTAGTAATAATGCAATAGTCATTATCATTGTCAATATCATTATCATAATTATCAGGGTTCGCCTTTGTCAAACTTCAGTATCTGAGTTTACACGTTGAACCGTTTCGAGACCTGTAATATATTCTATCTATAATTGTTAAAGTGATACCGCGTTATATCTGCCTAGGACATGCCATGGCGCCAGAATCGCCTATAGAGTCGTCCTAAACGTGAAAAAACACCCCATTTTTTTCCCGGAGAAGGAATAGTAAACATTGATGACCAGGTAATTTGGGGCTCATCTGGTTAGACGAGGAACTTTATCGGGTGGCACTCAGGGCCATTTCGGCAGAGTGGCGGCGCTGGTGGCACATGCACTGTCTTCAGGTGGAATTTCCCCTCGTTCATACCATGCATTTTGATCAGTTAATTGACACAGGCAAATGAAATACTAACCGTACGAAGCGTCGAAACGATTTTAGTTTTCATACAACGGGGCCAACCAGTAGTGTTTCCTTTGCCAGATGGATAAACTGCCACTGTCTCCAGTTATCTTTTTCAAAGCGTTTCTCGGTGGGTTTGTTCCTTGAAGTTAGCGATTCTGGACTTATCTTTATTATTTTCCTTTCTTAATTCTTCCTAGGTAATTGCCCGTCTCCTTATATCAAGGTCGGCGACCAGTGCATCGCCTTCTTCAGTACTGAAAGCGTGAGTTTTTTTTTTCTTTTTATACCTATTTCCATGTAAGTAGTTCCCATAACTAAATGTCAAAATCCTTTATATATATGTGTGTGTTTGTGGACTTGCGTATTTGTTCACTCAAATTCCAGTATTACCGAGGTAAAAATGGTACATTCGAGATACGTACTATATGTCAAAAATTCTGACTCCTTTGCCCCCCCCCCCCCCCACACAGACACATACACAGTTCACCTGGGCCAATGCGCGGACGTTCTGTGAAGACAGCGGCGGCCATCTGTTCATCATCCAAAATGGCAACCAATATTACAATCTCATCTGGTATCTTGTCAATAACAGTAAGTAAAGGGATTGCTTCTCGCTGTTTAGTCAAGGTCAGCTCGTTGTGATGTTTGTTAGTTATGATGGTGATATATTGTGACTAGAAAAAATAAGATTAAAGAAATGAAGTCAAATATAAAGATATATATATATACGCATACATGCATCTATATATGTGTCTATATATACATATATGTATATATATACACATACATACATATACAAATACATACACATATACATATATATGTATATTTACATACATATATTTGTAGAAAAGGTATGAATGAGAATGAAAGTCTTCACAGTACAAGAAATGTATTTGACCGGTTTCGATTATATCTACAATATATATACAATCGAAACCGGTCAAATACATCTCTTGTATTGTGAAGATATTCATTCTCATTCATACCTTTTCTACACTTGTCAACATGAATACGGTTCATGCATATATCAATATATATACACGTAAACTGCATCAAGGTAAATATCTATCCATCCAGTTATAGCATTTTTTTCATACGTAGACCATAGGCATTCATTTCCACTAACCGACCCGCCCTTTCGCCGCCAGAGTTCACCAGCGACTTCTGGCTGGGCGGAAGGTACGAGCTGGGCGACTTGAGCTGGGTGTTGTGC